GAGGAGGGGGGGGGATTTATACCCCGCCCTTCACTTGGAGTCTCAGAGCAGCTTACAATCTCCTTCCCGTGCTCTGCCCACAATCCCTGTGAGGTCGGTGGGGCTGAGAGAGTTCTGAGAACTGCTCTTGAGAGAACTGTGACTGACCCAAGGTCACACAGCTGGCTGCATGTGGAGGCATGGGGAATCAAACCCGGTTCTTCAGATTAGAGTCCACCATTCTTAATCACTGCACCAAACTAGTTCTCAAGTTATTGAAAGGATCCATTTGTCTTCTACATGGGATATATGCCACACACACTTTGAAGGCACTGCCAAATATCACCTTGATAGTGCTTTGGGTACTACACATCTGAAAAAGAAGCCTCCATCTTTCTGTGCATCACTTTCCTCATTTAAATGTCTCCCCAGAGGCTCTACTTCTTTAGAACAGCTTTTCTACAACTATCTTAGCTTTGGCTTATCTGCTGTTCTCCTGCCATCTGACTTTCCATGCCTTCAAGCCTATAACACATTATCAGTCCCACCTTATCAAAACTTTGTAGAGGGAAATGTTTTGGTTCAGACTACAGCCCTGACCAACAAGTAATGGTGAATTCATGTACAGTCTGTGTACAGGGGCACACTCGATTTGCCTTTAAACAGGTGTTGAGTGGTTCTTATGTTCCATTCCCCCCCACATTTATCCAGGTACCAGTCCCTGGTTCCATGTTTAAAGTGAATGTGTGTTTGTTCTTTCTTATCCACAGATGAACACACATATATGCAGGATTTACTTGTATTCACTGTAACTTGTGAATAGGACTTATATTGCTTCAGTAATTTGAACAGAACCTGGTATACCTTAGATACTGAATTACTGTTATCATTCCATTATTATTATTATTTATTGTTAATTATTATTATTATTATTATTATTACTACTACTACTACTACTACTACTACTATTAGTATTTATCAAAATGATTTTAAGTGATGATAATAATTATTATGACCAGTGTTCCCTCTAAGCTGAGATAGTTTGAGCTAGCTCACAGTTCTTTAGCCTTCGGCTCACACATTTTTGTCTTGGCTCAGGAAGGATGGCTCCAGAGCAAACTAATTTATGCAGTAGCCAAATTGCTCACTCACAACTTTAATGCCAGTAGCTCACAAAGTAGAATTTTTGCTCACAAGTCCCCACAGCTTAGAGGGAACATTTTATCCATTATAACACATTAAAGAATAGTAAGAATAGTAACCAGTTCCTGTTCCAAAAAGTTTACAGTCTAGAATTTGCCACAGGGAAAGTAATAGAAGGAAAAGAGAAGGATGAAAGAAAATCTGGGGTGGGGATTGTTGCTGAAGTCCATCATGCAGTCTGTTGTACAGTTATTTTTCCTTCTTTTACAATACTCAGTACAAGAATAAAATATGACTGCCATTATAATATGTGAAAAGGAAAGCAAATTGGCACTCACACACACAAAGGGGGACAATCTTTCATTCAAGTCATGCACAGTGCTGATCAGAACACACCTCATACTAAAGTCATTCATAATAATGAGACTCAGCTGTTATTTCCTAAATTTCCCAGTTACTCAGTGTAAGATTAATTGCTTTTTATAATGGAAATTGCGAATATGAACTGAGCACTTATCCCATCAATCTGGAGGATCTGGTGGAACTTCGCTGGAATTCTGATCTGCCATTCCTTCCCACTACCTTATTTGCTAACAGAATTATTTCTATCCAAAAAACATATTTCAAAGATGACCTCCCTATAGAAATGCCAAGGCATCTGCAAGCAAACAGGGAAGTCTTTTCCATTTATTGGCAATCATTCAGTGGTTTGTTTTTCTGTCCTTGTGAATTGCTTCTGATCAGAACCATCTTTTTCCAGGGGTAACTTTAAGGACCATCTCACAACCCAGAATATTATTTTAAGAATTATATATTTTTAAAACATAGATCAACAATTGTCCGTAACTAAGGATCTTCCCAGCAGCTCAGGGGAGCAGGCAGAGGTAGTGAGACAAATATGGGTATATTTGCCCTGGGGATGATTTAGCCAATTTCCCCTTCTTTTGAAATGCAGGGAAGATAAATACAGCCTAGCATTTGAGAGCTGATTTGTATCTGTGTCTGAGATCAGCACAGTGAGGGAGGAGAGAGGCTGTAATGAAATGTACTGATGGTGCACCGGTTAATGAAGCAGCAATGAAGATGTCACAGGGAGAGGGGAGGAAGACTTTGAATGTAATTCTTAAGCAGCATATTGGGAACAGGAGCCAATTAGGAAGAGGAAGGGGGTTGAAAAAAGCACAATGGGCCAGTCTCGTGTGAATCCGTCAGCAGAATCCAAATTGAGGCAGTTAACTAGCCACTCTTCCATACCTACGGCTACAGGTTACAATTGTGATTTCTATTATCCATTACATTCTGCACTCATTAAAAATGCAGCTTTGTCTTAATTCTCCATCTCTTTTCTAAAATCTCTCTTCAAATGTATCTCTTGCATTGCAGGATTAAGCAACATAGTCTCCCCATTAGTGGATTGAACACTTAAAACAACTTGCTTTAAATTTAAAAAAACCTGGAATTTTATCTAATATCCCGATATGTAATGCTATAGAATGGGACAGGTGGTAATTATTCAGTGGTGATGGAATAGAACTCTGTGAATGCACAGAAGAACTCTGTTATTGCTTCACGTGTCCTAGATGTGAAGAGGATGCAAAACATATTGAATTAATGTACCCTGGAGTGGCTTTGGAACTGTGATTCTTGAGCAAACACCCTGCCCCACCTCCCCCTTTCACCTGCATGTCATTAGCATATTACATCAGCTTTGAGCTAACTTCATTGGTTACCACAATTTCCAATCTCAGTTCAAGATGATAGTTTTGAACTTTAAGATCTATGTCATTTGGGACACAGTGCCTCAAGTTTGGTCTTCTCCAAGACAAACATATTTGTACAATCAGATTAGCTGAATGGATTCTGTGTTCTTCCACCATCAGAGGATCAATCGGTGGGCATAAGTGCCAGGGTGGCCCCAATCTACTCCCCTTTCATGTACACCTGGCTTTATCCCTTTTGAAGTTTGGAAAGCATGAAAAGACCTTCTTTTGACAGGCATTTGTGTTGGATTAATGGTGATAGTAATTGAACTATTCTGTTCATTCTGGTTATTTTAGATATGGATTGTAGTTCATTGTACTTTCTGAATTGCTTTTGATTTTATATGCTGGTTGTTTTGCATGTTTTGTATTTTGGGTATTTTAAACATTCTTGTTGCTATTCAGTAGTTGTAGCATCTTATAAGAACTTTGAGACTTTTACTGAAAGATAGGATATGAATTTTAAAAATAACAACATTTTAATGTTTTTAGCACAGTTTTCACAGCAGTTTTCTAACTAAACTGGCCAAAACAGGATCAAACATAGCCAAGACTATTAAATTAAAAAAGTGATAGGTTGATGCCATCATGTGGTCAGCTCAAATGATGCCATATAATTCACACAAAACAAACCATTGCCAAGTGAGTCATAACTTTACACAGAAACCTCCAAAGAAGACTGGCTACAATCCTTAACATGTAATGAGGGTCTCTGAGTGTAAGAATATTCTTGTAATTAAATTATTTTTCTATATAGCAACTCTTTAACTTGTATTATTGATGTTCTGTTCAATGTAAATTCAGTATTAATATGATCAACATATAAATGTTTTATTCAGTAGGAGTGGTTTCTGAAGCTTAAATTGTCGATGGTGGAAAGCTACGAGTTCAGTTATCTGTTTCATTTCAACATTATTCAGATATTAGAATTGTATGCTCCTTGACCATCTCCAACAGGTACCTTTGCTAATTAGTTGCCTCCTGTTTCCTGACAGAACAGTTATCAAAAAGACAATTCTTGTTAGATAAGGAGGGCAATGTGAATGTAGTCTGCTTGCATTGGATAGTGTCAAAATGAGCAAGGGGAGGGAAGTTTCCTGAAAGTTTATAGTTAAGCAGCTGAGAGTGACAAGCCAAAGTACAAAGTAAGATGCATGGGAGAAAGTGATGCCATTATTGCTATTTAGCAGTGTGCATCACTTAGAAACAGACCCATGCACTTGCATCATTAGGATCTGATCTTTCAAAAACAAAATGAAATTCAATAGTGACCCTGCACTTCCTTGGAAATGAGGGGGAACCAAATCTAGGTGCAAAGAATTCATAGCAAATCATGCTGTGGCTCAATTTGCTCCAGCCCCCTTAACTTCAAATGAGGAATGGGACACAACTGGGTCATAGCAAATCTGGTCAACTGATCAGGAGAGGGCCGCAGGCTGCTTTACCCAGCTGCAACAGGGGTTATTACAATGCCATACATACTGTTGCCTGACAGTTTATTTATTTACAAAATTTGTATCCTGCCTTTCTGCCCTTACAAGAGCCATCATGGTGGCTAATATTTTAAAACATATATAAGAAAATCACATTTTAAAACCTCTAAAACCAAAAATGCATCATTAAAACAATTAAAAAATGCATATAAAACATAAACACAGGAATTAAAACCCTGATCAGGAAGGAGGGATCAGTGAGAAGATGCCAAACAAAACAAAAAAGTATTTACCCACTGGCAGAAGATGGCGAAACAAGGGGACAGATGAATACCCCCGGAGAAAGATTTCCAGAGCTCTGGTGCCATGACTGAGAAGGCCCTCTCCTGGGTTGCCTCCTGCCTAATCTCAGAAGGCA